CAGCCAAGAAAATACGGCATACAACTCCTTCACACTTTTGCTATTTAATAAATAAGATAGAACAAGAATTGCATACTCATTCTCCAAGAGCATAGTTATTTTCAACATTTAAAAAATTTCGAAGCGCATCGTTGACCACTACAGGCCGCCATACTTGCGTTTCCTTGTTCCTCATAACACTAATTTCTCAAAACGTTTTAGCTTTGAGCTTATCATACGTGGGTTTTCTTGCTGGTCTATGGGGATATGACTCAAAATGTTACAATTCCATTAAACGCAATCAGCTTATTTTTAAGTCCCATTTGCATTCAAAAAACATTTGCTTGCCAGTTAAGAAGGAAAATCTCAGAAAAGTTATTCGTTTCACGATCAACAGCAAACATTTTCAAGCACGATCCTCTCCTATTCACAGCTTCGCTTTAAATGAGTGGTCTTAAACCAGAATGAACTAAGTGATATTTTTCTAATATTGAGTTATTCACAATATAGAATATTGAGATTTCATATTATCGTGCGCCAAAATGAGCTATGTAATAACTTGTCTGTCATGGTTGCTGTTTCAAGGGATTTCTCTGGCGGATGTTTTTTTTTTATTTTCGTGCAGCAAATCGAACCATGTGACGGCATAAGATAGCTTCATGTGCATGTACCAGGATTATGGGAGAAAACTTCTGAGTGTGAAGAGGCCTTTAGTTCTGGATCGTCCGACATCTACGAACACTTGATAAGTCCTCTCAATCGACTGGCAAATGGATACGAATAACTGGTACATAAACGTTTGTTGAATCAACTCATCTTTGTGTGGTTACATTGTTTATCTGATAGGTAGGAATGAAAAATGTTCGCACATGATTTTCTCGTGGACTCTGCACGATCGATAGAGATTAGATGTGGTTATTTCAGTGTTACCATTCAGTAATGAATTTAAAAATAAAGAATGGGCTTATTTAGGGCGATAAATGCGATTTAAAATAGAGATGGCTCATTTTGGTAAAATATATCTTTAAAACATGGCATATACATTTCCGATACATTCATCAGCCACAAAAGTAATATTACCTAGCTGGTCTCATATTTGCCTTAATTGAAGCCTTTCGCGCATTTCTAAATCTAAATCATTCGTTTCCAGATGAACATGAAATTATTCTTAATAAAAGAAAAAAAAAGCTGTAAGAAAACTAAGTTGAAAGAACCAAAACTGTTGATCGCCAAATCGTGGCGTAATGTGGGCATGAGACACAGTTTATGACCTGTTCGGGGAACCCGATCCTACGACCAGACAAAAATACGAAGAACGGTACTTCGTTTGAACCCGCCAGGCGGATGTTACATGCCCAATAATAGAGTAATATTGACATGGAAATTGACGTGATTTACTTGGAAACAATTTTCGATTTGTAGCAAATTTTCCAATATGCTTGGGGCTTAACAAGATTAGATTTTTCATAACGGATAATTCACCTTCAAAAACCTCCAAAAGATGCGAATAAATAGAAAAAAGCAAATATTTATTTAAGCATACATTGGTAATCTCAATATCAAAATTTTTAAAAAAATTGAGGAAGGGAAAATACGTAATTAGAATAATGCCAATTTCTTTCCTACAAGTTATAATACCTACAAGTGTAACTGCATTAATACGTTATCAGAATTTAACAGAGAAATGTTAATTCCATTTGCTGCAGGTCAAAGGCTAAAAATTGCAAACTCCTTTTTTCGATGGAGGAAGGATGATAGATGGACTTGGCAATATCCTGACGGAAACACAAGGAATGAGATTGACATTATACTCGCAGACAAAATAAAAAAGTATTGTGACGCATAGAAAATGTAAATGTTTCTTCAGATCATAGAATAGCGCACTCAGAGGTGCGACTAGAAGGAAGAAAGAGATGGTTTCAAAAAAGGAAAGAAATAATAACCTATGAAATAGTTACAGTAAAATTCAAACAAGTACTTACTACCGAATTGAATAGCATGGTACAAAACAACGTTTCAGACTCTCAAATTCCTGACACGAATACAATCCAAAATGAATACGATTATTTTGAGGAAAAACATCCTGGAAATAGGAAGCTATATCAGGAAAGGATATAAAAAGGAACTAAGTGACTCTATTGTGAAACTACTAAATGATTGTGACAAAGTGAAAAGCCAGAATCCACGAGTAAGGTTCTCTGCTGAATATAAAAATCTAGATAGGTTGGCCAAGCGTTCTATTAGGAACAATCTAAGGGAATATAAAACATAGACGATAAATGCAATAATGCAAGACTCGAATTCGGTAAGGAAAACAAAAAAGAACTTATCGTAGAGAAAATAAAAGAAATCTCTGACTTAGCAACACAATATTTCAGAGAACTCAGTGACAGCAAACAAGACCAACCTCAAACTATTCTGAAAAGAGAGAATAGATAAATTTAGTTGAACTGCAACCGGGCATAACCCAGTAGCAGCTAATTACATAAATAAGATAATGTAGCTAACACGCAAATTATATAATAATAATAACAATAACAACAGCAACCAGGATCCGGATGGAGTACTGAATATTCTTCAAAGTGAAGTAAGATATTGTATCTCAGAGCTAAACACAAAACGCTCGCCAGGAGACGATGGAATATTAAACGAATTCCTTATACACTGCCGGGAGGAAGCGATAATAGAAATAACAAAATTATTCAATAAAATACGGCAGGCAGAAGAGACTGCTAAGCAAGAGTCCCAAAGTACCATCTCCCTCTTATACAAAAAGGGCACAAAGGATGACTTAATTATCAACCGATCACCTTAATGTCCAATCTCTATATATTATTCTTAAAAATAATTACCGGACGAATAACCAGGACGCTTGACGAGCAATAACCAAACGAACAGGCTGGATTCCGATCCGGTTTTAATACGGTAGACTGTTTGCAGACACTGAATCAGATCATCGAAAAAATACAAGAGTTCAATTTAAAACTCTATATAGCCTTTGTCGATTTTAGAAAGGCATTTGATTGTGTAGAACATTCAGCGCTGTTCAATTCACTTCATAAACAAGGTGTGCCAAAAAGTACATTAGAATTTTACAGAGAATTTATATTCAAATAGTGCTGCAAAAGTAAGAACTGACCAAGAAGGGAAGGCGTTTGAGATACAAGGTGTCAGGCAAGGAGATCCTTTATCGCCAAAACTATTCACTTGCCTACTAGATGTATTCAGACAGCTAACATGGTCTAAAGAGCGGGATTAAAAATTAACGGATAGAAATTGAGAAATTTGCGATTTGCAGATGTACTCGTAGTTATGTTTTCTACCTCTACACATGAGATATGCGAGATGTTAAGAGGGCTGAATGATAAAGTTGAAATCTACCTATCAAAAACAAAAATTATGGCCAATGACAAACGAATGCCTGTACTTGTAGCCAACCAAAAAATTGAATACATTTAAGAATATCTACATTTGGGACAATTAATATCTTTTGAGGAAAGAAAAGAAAAAGAAATAAAACGAAGAGTTTGTTGAATGTTGGAAAAAGTTCTGGAGCCTCTCATTTATACTATTAGACAGTCAGCGTCACATTCAAAAATACATTATAGATTTCTGCATCACACCAGTATTAACATACGGCTCTCTAACAAAGGCACAACAGTCCATGCTAATAAAATTCCAGAGACACGGAGAGGAAAATTAGATGCGAGGAAATCAGAAAGAAATAAAAAATCCCATCGTGCTACGTTTTAGGATTGAAGATACGGCAAAGGACGACAACAGAAGAGATGGTATGATGTGTTCAAGAAAGAAGTAGATGTAAAGTGGTCTCAAGTAGGTAAACACACACATTTGGAAGAAACTTAAAAACAATGTGCAAACATTTTCATTTTTTAGTTAATACAGAACACTAAGTTATATATATAATTAAATAAAAAAAAGGAAGATGCTAACCTCAGGAATGTTAGAATTATTGAATACTTTTACATTTTTTAATAAAATAAAACAATGAAAAGAAACTAAATTACTTTTAGTCATTGACGTATTTCTCTATTTTATTTTATTTTAAGCCTATAAGATCTCTTGAGGGCTAATTCCACCCGCAGAAGCGGGGATGTGAGTTGGTACACATATAGATTCATAACATAGTATACTTACGTAACAGTATTGAACATTATAGATCTTAGACAATAGTATATTATATATGTGCAAACAATGTGCAAACATTTTCATTTTTTAGTTAATACAGAACACTAAGTTATATATATATATATATATATATATATATATATATATATATATATATATATATATATTGGTAACATATGGAATTGCTAAAAGCAAAAGTAGGCTTGTTGGATATTATAATTATAAGAAAATATTAAAGTTCGGATAAAATTTGATCTGTTCTAATTACAAGTTGATTAAAGGTTAACATTTTGTCCGTATAATCTCAAATAAAGGCGGAACTATAAAATAGGCCAAATATTACAAGATAATGAAAACGATGTGGAGCACACTGTTCATGGAGTAACGGAGACAAATGAAAATCGTCCTTCAAAACACACGAAACTAGTGTTTACCTTTGAGGAAATCTGTTTTACGAATTTGATAATATGACTTACCCATTATTTTCATGCATTTCAGGAGTGATATGATATATGGAGATTCAGTATGCTAAGATTTAAAATTTGTAATTTATACACATCATTTTCTGGATTTTTTAGTTTACCGCATGTGAGATGTCAATCACGTATGCCATTACTGTCATCACATTTAGTATCATCTAGGAAGAAATCTGATCAGAATGAATGTGACCCACCCGATCGAGATTGCAAGATTCCTCGAAGGCAAGTTTCGTTATCTTATTCCTCAAATCAATTATTCACCATTAATATGTGACTGTAATTTTTATTTTACTAATGTCTACCGACTCGGTTTTTATGGAATATGATGGTAGTTACATTACGTTTGTTCGTCCGATCAGTTTCATATCATTGTTTTCACACGTCTCTTAAAGAATGGAAGTTTTGGAGTTTGATTCAAAGAAGAAAGAACTGTGTCTGCTTGAAGTACCTGTTCCTCCCAAATTATCTGATCACGATGTTCTGGTAAAAGTGGCTTATGCAGGTATCTGTGGCAGTGATTTAAAAATGCTTAGTGTAAGTTCATTTGAAAGTTGCGTTTGCGATAATGAAAGTTAGCACAATCAAATACTTTTGTATATTGCATTCTCTCTCAGGGCGATATTCCAGTCGCTGACAAGATCATTCTAGGGCATGAGATTTGCGGCACTGTGGCAGAAACAGGAAAAGAAGTAGATAGCATTATACCGGGTGATCGGGTGGCAATTGATCCTAATAGGTAAGTTTAGAAAAGTTTTAATATTTAGTCTAGAAAATAGTGGAAGTCCCACAAAAGTAGTAGATGGAGTGATATCTGTCATTCATGTGGTGTCTCATAAAACTCACGTTCTGCAATGTATAAACGTTGTGCAAGGTTAAAATTTACGTAGAGCTAAGCGTGTTTCGGCGGCTTCTAACAACATAAATTCCTCTCAGATATTTTTTATTGAAATATTAAAATTTATTGCAGAATAATGAAAATCCGATTACTCAAATAATGAAACAATTAGAGAGTATGTGCAGGGTAATATTTCTCACCTGCGAAAAGTCTCCATCAATGGATTTGTAACTGTCAATCAAAGTAATCCTTTACAGTTTTTTTCTAGATATGATATAATATAATATTATTTAATATAATAATAATAATAATAATAATAATAATAATAATAATAATAATAATGATAAATAATATGAAATCTGAATGACAATATCAGCTCTTGCTGAACTCTTCATAAATGAAGATGTAGATACTTATTCACTGTTATTCCAATATTAAAATACTCATTTACGTAATAAGACATTTTGTAGTAAAATAACATTTATGTGACAAAGCTAGTTTCATGTTAATTTATTCTACCTCTTTAGGAACTATTTTTAAGACATTTAAGACCTATTTTAGCAGCCTGAAATATATTTTACAGACCAAAATGCTCCACCTAGACATAACAGCGCTGACTAGATCTAATTAACAACGCTGCCTCTGTGTCACGATGAGCCACTGCGTAGCAATGGAAAGTATTTCCAGAAGAAAAAAATGTATTTGCATATATATGCTTTAGAACCATTTTTTACCTCATTTCAATGGTGAAACCACATCCTGAACTTTGTCTCTTAATCGTCCACTTTCCGTCTGCGTAGGCGGGTGTAGATCTGCTGCATCTCTCCCTCCTCTGTTTCTAATCGTTGAAATCACGTGTATAGGCTTAGTAGGACAACCCAGCATGGATTAGGCGAAAAGTGAAACACGTAGTACTTGCAGCAGCCGTATTCGACGATGTCTGCGGTGCTGAGTGGCGGGAGAACATTTGAGGGAATGTTTGTGATAACATTTAGGGAACATTTTTTGCGGACATTTGGGAGTAATCTGGAAATATTTGGAGAACATGTGAGAACCTATGATGAACATATAAGAAAATATCTAGTAGGGAGACGAATATACTCTTAAATTTACAGAGTACGGGAATCGGTGACATTTGTACACCCATAGGCCAAATGGAAAATGGGCAAATGATTGTGATAGTGGCCAACTTCATATAAGTCAATAGAAAAGTTAATATATTGTTTTTTGAACATTCCACATAAGAACTATTTTCAGTACCAAGGAATTACAAAATATGGATACTACTCTACGTAGAGAAAGTAATTTAATACGTCACATAGGAGCAAGAAAAAATCCTTTTTTACGATATAAAGAAGCTACAAAACGAGTTCCTCTGTCGAAAAAAAACTCCTTTTTTCGCAGCAGCATTTCGTAATTTTGTCTATACTATGTACATGTGTATATGTATTCGAGAAAATAACTAGTAGTGCTACCGAATGGCGCAGAATTTCCTGTCCTAATTATTTTGAGAAGGAAAAATTTTCATGACAAATTTATGAGTACTCCTATTACTGAATATGGAACAAAATGTAATGCACAGTTCAAAACTATTAAAAGTCAATTCGTCAAAAGACTGGCGATATGAATATATCAAATGAACATCCAGATCTTTCCAGCGTACATTAGTAATTACCAGATTATTTAGTAACTCTTCTTCAATAAATACAGTGGCGATCTTGAGAGCTGTACGAATTTACTTCTATTGCAAACGACTGGCATCACGAAAAATGAAAGGGGCAATCCCTTGTAGAAAAAGCGGTTAAGTAATAAAATCATACACCTGGGGCCAGGATGTTGTCCAAGTGGTAGAATACGTGAAATGGGCAAGATCATGAAGACTGTCAGATCGGAAAAAGATTATGCAGTTCTACATGCTCCTAAACGTAGCACCCATCCATATTCAACAAGAGAAACCTAACGTCTTCCCATGGGAGTGCCGCCAGAAATAGAAACTGTCAGTATTTTCGTTTCCCCTGTGTTAGTGCAAACCGAGGCACAAACGTAAAAGTGATAATTTTGTATTGAACGAGAGCACCGAAAAGCCAGTCCGGATGGCAGAGACAGTTAAGGCAGTAGTGCCGTAGCGATCTCGGACCGAAGGAAGGCGGGTTGAAGGTCCACCTTGGGCATGGGTCTATTGGTGTTCATCCTTTCATGACCTAGATGTTGATGCGACCAAAACAATATCCAAAAACCAATAACAAAAAAAAAATGTCCGAAAAAATTCTTCTCCTGAAAAATTGAAAACTCAATTAGGCGTAATTGAGTATTCAGCCTAAAAAATTTTCAAGACTTGTGGGAGAGGCAGCTATGAGTTATAAGAAACCATTACATAGGTGAAAGATGGGCGGGAGAAGAGCAACAAAACTCAAAAACGTTGCAAGAGATGTAAAACATGGCTATATCACCACGGTCACTGATGTTAAAGGTGCTGTTGGAGAACTTACGAATTGGAAATCACGCTGACCTGCTCAGCGTGACTTTTGATATAAAAGACTTACAAGAGTACATGAAAAATCTCGCGAGTTCGCGATGTGAGCCCGCTGTACGAGAGTAGCTTGAGGCGTTTAGAGATGCCCTACGGTTTCTTGGAGGACGACCTGCAGTGCTTTTAGGTGTATGCAATCGTTTTTCAAGTGCATGCGTAGTCCATTTGCTCCGCCCTCCTGGCTCGGCTTATAAAGCACAGGTCAGATGGAAGAGGCTTCTAAATATGTGGAATGTATGAGAAATTAAATTGATTAGGATTTGATTTTCTGTGCCACGTAATCGCACTGATACAAGTCTTTCTGAGTAGTAACATAAGTTTAGCAATATCAGATTCGTCCACGCAGAGTACCCAGCCAATGCATGCAAATCACAGTTCAAAATCTGGCCGGTCAACATCTGGTCGGTTTCAGTATGAAGCTATTTTGACTTTTGAATCACTTATTTACAAAGTGGGAATGTACGCAGGGATACAGCTATTAAGATATGTAATTATCAATACAAAAATTTAATGGTAAATGGCGTTTGCTTTGTAGAGGTTTAGTATATTTTCACTAATTATCGGAATTTAATATTTACATTTATTGTAATAATGAAGTATATTCGAGTATAATCATGCCCGAATTTTACTTATTTTGCAGTGGTTGTGGTGTTTGTCCAGAATGCGCTGATGGTAACTACCATTACTGTGAATGTGGAGGAGGTAACAACTATGTTGGCGTATTTCGTAATGGGGGATGGGCTGAATATTGTGTGGTTCCAGCAAGACAAGCCTTCTTGATACCAAAAAATATGGCATTTGAACTTGGTAAATTTATCTTTAATGTTTAGTGTAACACTTCACACAATAATTGTGAACGAACGCTAACTATAACATATCACTCCTCAAATATAACTTTGAATAAAATAATTCTATATTAGTTTTTCAACTTTTAGAGCTCAGCCTTGACAAACAACTATTTCACATAATTTCCAACTAAGGATTTATAAAAATTGTAATTATTTATAACCGCTTCAACCGAATAACAGTTCCTACGAACCTTACTTTCAGTCAATATCTTATGATATTCTTTCTTATTAAAGAAATTAAGATATCTAACCATGAATCGATTGTTCGTTTGATGTTATCTGTATTCATTTCTAATTGATATATTAATTCTTTTTGTGTGTTTATTGTACTCATGTACTTGGTAATATAGAAGACCTATGTTTCATTTTAGCTGCACTAACAGAGCCGTTATCATGTATCTCGCATGGATGGGACAAGATTCAACCTCTTCAGATTGGGAAAAGAATTCTTATCTTAGGAGCAGGAATTGCTGGAAATCTGTACGCATGCCTGTTCCATTTAAACGGGCATCGAAAAGTAACCGTTTGTGAGCCGCAGGAAGGACGACGAAAACTATTCGATAATATTGGTAACATGCGAGAGCAATTTATATTTAATTTATATTGTGAAGCGTTGGTGATCTGTGATAATCACCCGGTAGATTTATTTAATTATTAAAAAGCAGTGTAAAACTGTATGATGTGTAAAACTGTTCATTTATAGTATATTTGCTCTTGTAATACCTTAGCCTCACTTTGGGGCTTGTAACATTGTTTTGGGTGTGGCATATATTTCCTCAATTTAAACTCACACATTGCACATAGGCTAATGGTCAGGCAAAAATGTTATGGAAAGAACTCTGGTCAAGATGTAACACACGAGGGACTGGTAATGCCCCCCCCCCCGCCTCGAACATCATTGAAAACATTCATGCCTTAAGTTGGTTTCGAAACCATAGCCTTATCCACGTATTTTGGTTCCTCCCCCAAGACCCGTACCTGCCCCAAGACCCTGTTACATGAGACTGAGTAATTTGACTGTATTGACTGAGTAATTGTAAGCACGCTACAATGCATAATGATGTGATAAAATCAATAATATAACTACAACAACAGACTTTATGCATTCTTTAGTCTGCATTGTAACATTGAATCTGTACATCAGAATAACTTAGACACCATTCGTCTTCATGCGACAATACAAACTGAGACACTTAAACATCAACGTCTTTGAACACCGGACTCAGTAATAAAGTTTTCTCAAGATTAACTAAACGTTTAGAAAATACTGTAGAACATAGTATTTACAGCATGTATAAGTTAACACAATTGTTTATTTACTTTCATGTAATATTTATATTGAGGAAAATAATGATTTATCGAAAAACACGTACATTTCTTTAAAAACATTCTCTAAAGTTATCGGTTCCCTAATAGTAGAATGAAAATATGACTTTAAGAATACTGCAGAAGAATAAAATTCCGATCCACATGCAAACTATAGAAAAATAACATTTCTTTAGAATAATAGAAATAATAGAAAATAGAAATAAAATAATAGAAAAAATACTATTGAAGATTAAAATTTCAAATCATTTGAAGCACTTAAACTCACAAATGCAATGATGTATTGCATGGTGCATGGTGCAAAATATTAATGATGTGAGATATAAAAAAAAGTACATTTGTGTATTTTTTGAAAAATCTAAAGAATATATCAAAATGGTGTTTATGTTATGTTCCTCCGTGAATTTAGCACTTTCAGTAAAAAATACTTGCAGCCGCTTTTGAGAAAATGCCGTTTGAGCTTTTCTAAAAATTAGGAATTTTAAGCTTATTAGAAATCACTTGAAGTACATATACTCACAAATATAATAGTGTATAAAACTCACGTAATGTAAATTTTAATGTTATGAAAGAGATCTAAAATGCATTTGAACAACTTCTGATAAATCAAAGAATATATGAAATGTGTATTATGCTATTCAGTACATTATCACTACCCCTAAAAATCAAGAAACCATGGAGTCGTTTTTTTTATTGAGAAAATATCGCTTGAGCTTTTCTCAAAATTAGCTTAAAATTGCACATTTCTATACCTGGTCACAAGACATTTTCTCAAAAACGATTCCGTTTTTTTTTAATTCGAAAAAATTGGAGCGTTTTGAGATTTTCTAAAATTTGCATTAATTTAAGCTAAAATTACGTGAAAACTAGTGTGTTATTTTAAAAGATTGTAAATGGCCTTTTTGTAGATCTGATACTTCATTTAGTACAAAAATCACTATCTTCAATATTCTTCATTTGCAATGTTAGCTTTTTGTAATTTTGAAAATACAAAGAGTTCGCCGAAAATAGGCCTAGCACGATTTTTTTACCGTTCTTTGAGGTGCACACAAGGTGAAAATTTAAAAAATGAAGCCATTTTTGAGAAAAAATATTTGTGTAAATACTTGCATGTATATGTATTTGCACTGTGTACAAATGTCTATACTTCACGGAACATTACGCCAAAACAACTCGTATTTTCGAAAAAGTGTATTTGATATTATTTCAAGATCTGTTTTTGAGGAATATATGTCATTAAAGAAAAAATGTATCTGCAGTATTGTAGCTGAAAGAAGAGGCCGAAAAAGATTTGAACAATTTTCGAAAAATCGGAGTGTTAACGAAAATTAGACTTACGCCATTCTTTTAAGAGTCTTTTACTCTGAGAACAAAGTTAAATAAAACAATTCGGAGCCATTTTTGTAAAAACTTTGAAGCTGTTTGTGAAGCTTTGTGTAATGTACCCTCAAAAATCAAAATAATTGATTCATATGCCGTCGGGTTCCTTTCGAGGAATCGGGGAATATAAATTTTGGAGAAAATGTCTGTACGGTTTAGGCGCTAGCGTTGACCACTGACGGTCAGACAGACGTTTTGCCGTCAATAGATTTTTCGGTATCAAGGACCCACAAAACATGAATTCTGACTACACAATGTGTTACATGGAATAATTTACTGAATAAATATGTAGGAACAAGATTTATCCACTTTGTCGATACCAGGGCCCGGCAATAAGAGTTTTCATGTAAAAAAAATCACCGTTTTCTGGTGCACGATTATAATACTTTCTCTTCTTACAAAATAAGCACGAGAAAGTAAAAATACGAAAAACGGAGTTACACCACATGGACTCTCGTGGGGTTCAAATGTGAAAATCCATTTCATGAGACAAATTTGTTTCGATCCACTCTAATACTCTTATCTATATAAAATATCCCATGTATTATGCAACTTTCAAATCTGAAATTTTCATAATACAGTTTTCAGGGCAAGTAAATTGACACATAACTTACATTCGCAACATTTCTATTTATGGATATAGCGAGCCAAGTTATTTCTTTAAATAGAACTCACTCTTATGGTTTTTCCACAGACACAGGCTTTGAAATTATTACACCGAATCAGCTCAAAGAACGGAAAGCCAAATGCCCTAATTGGAAAGTGGATGTGGTTGTTGATTGTTCTGGAAGCGTCAATGCCCTGGAAGATGCTGTGGAACTGTTGAATAACGGTGGTCTGCTGAGTATATATGGATTAGCTCCCCCACAGGCAAAATTTAGGCAAGTATTAAATTAACAAATGAAAGGCTCTGGGTCAGAAAGTCATAAGTTTCATTTTGGCAAAAGTTGAGATATTATCAAACGTAGGGCTCTTAGTCTTTCAGTTTGTGTCTGTAAATAGTAATAATTTTTGACAACAATTTATAGAGCACTGCTGTAAAGTACATTTTACATGCTAAATAACTCTTTAATTGGATGAATCAAAATATTGATACCTGACAATATCTCTATTTATTTATCAAACTAAATAACTCTATTTTGATCGGAAGTGGCATAGGCTTATTTGCTCCCAAGACCCTCATGCTTTTAATAAATCAGATTAAATTGAACTTCTAATGTGTCTCTTTTAGGGTGTCACCTTTCCTGTTATTCGAGAAAGAACTGACTATAAATTCTGTTCTACTAAATCCATTTTGCTTTAGGAAATCAATGAAGTATATCGCCGCATTAGATTTCAGGTATAATTAGTATTACTTCATGTGCTTTATCTAATAAATATTTTATCTACACATAGTGGTTAATATAATGGATTTTTGCAGGTATTTGGGCTTTGAAAAACTAGGAGTTCAAGTATTCAAGTTGAAAGATTTCGAAGAAGCAATTCGAGCTCTGAAGAGTGGTTGTATTTCCAAAGCAATATTCAAAATGATTTAAATTTGTAGTATTAGTGTGTAATTTAAATAGAAATTAAACCATTTACCTGCATACTTAAATAACCATTGCTAAGAAACACAAACATATTACAGTGTGGAAAATGCCGTGAAAAAAGTTTCCAGTTGTTGGCGGTAGCAAGAAAATACTTATTTTAATGAAACATCGGACATTTTCTGTGTTTCTTAAACAACGTTACAGAAAAGTGGTTATTCCGATCAGGTGAATGCCATAGTAGTATTCTAACGAACGTGCCACGATCCGCGCGCGATCTTTCCTTCTTCCTCCTGATTCTATCCTCTCCTCTCACACACGTCCTTTACTTACGTACACTATCCTTCCACATAAATCGTAAGATCAGTTGGGAGCTTAGAGTTTGTTCCGGCAGGGGCGGTGCCTTACTGGTGGAGGTACCCGGACGGGGGAAATCTCCTGCAAGGCGACGTGTAGCACGTCGCCTTATCTCATCAACCACCGGGAAGGGAGGAACACAGCCACCTCGTGGAATAAAACAATCAGTACTCTTACGGGACTAATGATGGAGAACAAAAGCCACAGAGAAGCAATAACTAATAATACAGTGATTACGGATCTTCAAGCAGGCGCAGTCGTCTCCTTCCTTTACTCCCCCCGCCAACGTCTTCGTGCTCCTCACGAGTGCCGGAGAACGTTTATCCTTGCGAGGCATTGTTCCGGGTTTGGAGGATTTGGCCAGGCCCGTCCTAGGGCTACTATTGCGAGCAGGCCACACCTACAAGAAGATGTACTTACGAGATTCGAAGTTGACACACACGAAATACGAATTTCATTAGTATAAGACCGCTTAAATTATTGGTCCCCCATAGAGGACATTATTTCGTGGACGTGTGCTGCAGTCGATTACATTTTCTGAATTTTTTTGTAAGTGAATCTTAAATGTTACAAAATCTAGCTTGGACGCCGCAAATTCGGAGTTTTGAATAACAATCACATAACAAAAGAAAAAATAGCATTCACCAATGCCTACGAGTGCAACAGTGGTGAGAGAACCGCGAAATATAAAACGACGACACACTGCGCCATTCGTAAAATAATTTGTAAGTTTGGTCTTCAACTGTAGATGTAGCAATAACAATAGCGTACGTATCTTTGAGTCCCCGTGTGGCAACCTTGCTGTTTGTTTACTTTCTCACCTCTCCTTTGTAAGAACAGACAGTACTGTAATCGTTCGCCAGCAAAAAGACGAAATTTTATCAGAAAAACTCTTATAGTCGGGCCCTGGTAACAAAAAAGTGGATAAATCTTGTTCCTGTATGTAGTAAATGACGTCCTCTAGCACGCTTTATAGTCAGAATCCCTGATTTGTGGGTCCTTGATTCCAAAAAAATCAATTGACTGCGAAAGTCTGCCTGTGATCATTGCTAGCCCCTAAGCCGTTCAGTCAATTTTCTCCAAAATTGATATTCCCCGATCGATATAACGGAATGCATGATCCTACGAGTTTGAAATGGATATTTTGATTTTTAGGGGTACTTTAAATAATGCCTCATTTACATTTTAAAAATTTTCTAAACATGGACCCAAATTTGCTATTAAAATTTGTCCTTGGATAGTGCAAGAGTCGCTTAAAAGAATGAGACGTCTCATTTTCGTTGAAATCCCTGATGTTTCGAAAATTACGTAAGTTCTTTGTTTTCAGTGTCTTCCTACAACTACAATATTGAAGACGAGGATTTTTTCCTTAATGAAATACATTGTTGAAAGACATCTTGAAATAAGGTCAGAAAGATGTTTCAGAAATATGAGTAGTTTTTCCATAGGTTTTCATGAAGTACAAGGATTTTTTAAACAATTATTTTCTTTAAAAAGCATGGAAAGTTGGTCTTTAAATCTCTTCGAAACGGTTAAGTACAGTTTTTTTAAAAAGTGTAGTTTTCACATTATTGCTGCTTGAAATTAAGGCTAATTTTAAAAAATAGCGCTCCATTTTTTAATTTTTTTTCCAAGGTAGAACAGGGATCGCTTAAAAGAATGCTACAAGTCTCAGTTTCCTTGAACTCTCTGAATTTTCAAAACTTGCAAATTTCGAAAAAATGCAAGAAAATGTGTGGTGTTGATGCACTACTACTTTACGCCTATGTTCACGTACGTTCTAGTCACAGATTCTTTCTCGTGTTCTTGTACCCTCCCCCCCTCCAGGAGGCGGGTCAAGCAATTTTACGAAAATGTTGGCCGTGTGGAACCAAGTAGAACACACGTGTTTCGCAAAAGCCTGAAGGTACATTTTATAAATCTTGTTTGATAAAGAATCTGTCCATATACAAAAGGCATTACAAATGCGGAATGAGTACTTCTTAAAGTGATCCATAACGTAGTTACGTCTTCTTTGCACCCGCAGTTTCTATCCTTGTAATGCTTTTCTTGGAAAGAGCGTCGAATACGACTGGTGTACTTTCGAAATCATCCATCAATAATAGACATGAGCATAAGGGACCGTGGACCCCTGGATATTTTGAAAGAGGCCCCGTAGCCTTACGTAATAAAACGTTTAATTTCCACTAATACGTTCAAACACTGATTTCCTGCTGTTTTAACCCGACAATTTGGGGAATTGTACTAAGATTTGGGAGAAGAGGTTTTCCAAGCCATTTGGAAACACAATAAATGGTTCAACTAAAATCAATTATATTTATTGATTGTTTCAATAAAGTTATAATTTCACTATCTTTGTAGTGTTTTATTAATTTACAAGTAAAATATTTCATTTGTAAATATAAAATTAATGAATAATGCGGTCCAGAAATGTAATAACCTCTCTTTTTCAAGGTCGTGCACGCCTGTGGTCATTGTAAACCTCCAAATGATTACTTCCACGTGTCTAATGTACTGTGTACGATCGATGTGTTGCGTATTGAAATCAAAATATTCTGTGCAATTATTCTCCAAATTTTCTATAGTAGAAGTGAACATAACCTAATCAGCTTCAGAGAACGCATAATGAGGAAAACTTACATAAGCATGCGAGATCCCTTGAAAGACTGGGATCGCTCATTTACATTTTTGGTAATCAGGACTGTTTGTGAATAAGATTCTAAACATTAAAATTATGTGACTACTATTAATTCTCCATTAAATCTTATTGTCCTCTACTCTCATATATATGAATTTGACCATCGATAATGCTGTTTTGCTTGTAATGTCTAAACATTTCCTTCCAATCAACCAATTTTGTCGTCCTATGAAACAGTGCTAATGTTCCTTTCACGCGAGGGATGACACTGAAAAGTGTTTTTCTTTGTTTACGAGCTTGCATATTCATGACAAGCTGTGTTCGGAGATGCCGAAGGCAAAGGAATAGCAAATTGAGATGGTAAGCGTCTGCTGTCTGTAGACCTCTTCTGGAAACGAAGAAAGCAAGCAAACCGTTTGCCAACGAGATGCAATAAACATGTCTAAGTTCTTTCTTGGTGTACGCTTCGTGACTGGTTTTATGGTTGTTAAGGATAACAGGAGGAGGATTTTTTTTAAATAAGAGATTTAGATAGCAAGTGTATGAAATCATTTAATTCGAGACAAGTGTAATAACTAAGATACCGAATTTTCTACAAACGATGAAAGCTCAAGTGCGTTGTACTAACTAAAAAAAATTCTTAGTTTAATTTTTTCGTTAGTGATAAAAACTCTGTAAATGAAAATCAGATCCAGATATAAAATATACAATTTAAAGAATTTTTTTGCCCTACCCTTTACACACACTCATAGATAGACTACACCATCACACATGTCGGGTGCTTGGAGCTTGTCGAGGCGTGGGCGGCGTCCGGCTGGGAGAGATTCCCCCCCAGTGCCCGTGGGAAGGCGCCGGATGAGACCCCCAGGAATAAAACATTCACTTCTGAGATGGAACTAATAACCGCAGCACATGACGTGCTAGGTTGTGATTCCGTGCTTCCGGTCGTGGTTGGTAGTGATTCCGGGCGCGTCAACTATAGTAAATTCTAAGCCAGAATCGATAGGGACACAAAAAATTCCTGTTTAGGGAGGTTTCCGTTTTATGCAAGGTATTCCATTTTATGACACTTGAGATAGTGACGTTTCAGCCTGAACATAGTAAATTACATTATTATAATTATCAAAATACATTAACATATTTATGGAAGAAATCACCAATTAATTGACTATTAAACACACTTAATTCACATCTTCTGAGTTGAAAAATACACATCTCACTACCGGACACCTTACTGACTCTTTCAACGCGCAATGCGTCACAGCCCAGTACTATGATTTTCTGATACCCTCGAATGGCCTGGAGCAATGCGTACGTGTTCGGGGGGTTATGAAATTCAACGCGGGCCTGGGAGACGCGTGAATAGAAGCTATCTCGTACACTTTTCCGCGCTCTGAAAGTCTGGAGAGACGAGATTCCCCAGCGACCTACACCTTGAGGGACAAGCAACCCTAAGGTCGAAATCTACGCTGACATCTGAAGCCCCTCTTCTTCAATGTCCGGCTAACACAACTAAATCACGTGTCACAAGGATAACTATTCTAAAACAGGCTTGCATTAATGCATTAATTTAATTAAGAACATCTAGTATCTCTCTGCCAATTGCATTAAATTGACAAGAATTCCATTTTATTGATTTTTTTCTTGCAGGACATGAAAATCTGTTTTGTTTCCGCGTTGGACAGGTTCCGTTTTACGCTGTATAACATGCCATTTAACTTCAGAGGCCGGAGAAATTTTCCGGTTAAGGCAGGTTTGCGGCTTGTATAGCTTCCGGTTTAG